AAACTGTAAACACTAAGTTAAACGTGACCGTTGACCGTTTAAGTGAAACTTAAACTGGTCACTGGTCAGGGGCCGCGGAAGAGGAGGGATGGAGAGTGAGATTTTTAGGAAGAATTTGAAAGAAAAACCTGCAAGTTTACGATTAGTTTAGCCGACCAGCTAACACTGGTCAGGTAACTTAGTGAGCTGGCTACTTGTTAGGGGCAGACAAAAAGTTCGAAAACAAAATACCCGGCTGAAGTCAGCTTCTTGTTCGAATTTTCCCGTTCCACCTTAAACAGTACAGCTGTTACAGTCTGGCGCCACCCTCGCCAGACTGTAACTGCTGCGCCATTTAAGGTGGAACGGAAAAATTCGAACAAGACGCTGGTGAATTGGAAGCCAACTTCAGCCTCGTAAACAAAATGCCGGGTGTCAGCAGCAGCACTCGGGTTAAACGGCGGCATTATCAGCAGGGGAGAAAAGAGAGGCTAACACGCTACTGTAGTGAACTATATTCGTGACCGAGAAGTGGAAAACCAAAAGTTTACTCTGTCCGACCTGACCACATGAATATGTAAAGTAGCTGCCTAACAAGTAGCCAGCTAATGTGAACTTCATTAAGCCACTTGTTCTAATTTTGCCCCGCGCTCTGTGAGAGCTGCAGCCGGAGTTGGAGTGCAGTTAGCCGGCCAGCTATGCGCAGAGAACCCGCCTCACAAAGCGGCGTGCTAACCCAGCTGGCTAGCGTTTAGAAGATATTTTGGCTAACGTTACTTTCCTGTTACTGAAAAACAATTTTAGAAATTAGTAAGACCTCTCCTAGCGCTTTAAATGAATTAAACGAAACGAGCTCGTCACGTAGCTAAATATTCGCCACAGGCTCAGAGTTTGGGGCTCTTGCTAAACCTAACGTTACAGCAACTCTCGTCTGGGAGCTAACGAGCTAGCTAAAGTAAGCAAATGTTGTTATTGTTGGAATAAAAGTCTCTCCGTCCGGCCGGTTGTAAGTTGTAAGCCGTAACTGGCCGTCCGTGCACGATTTCTTTGCTCCTAGAAGTAGAAGGTAGGGAAAGGAAAAGGAATATGAATATGTAAAATGCAATGATTACCTGCTCTCAAGCGCTCATCTTGACTCGCTGATCCTCTGTCCGCCATTTTGAATATTTAGTGCAAGTCACAACCCATCCCGACGGCAAAACAGCGGAACATTCATAAACTACTCCCCCCATCCTGAAGAGCGGAGTCCTCTCTTTCTCTCAGGCACCTGCTGCACTGGTTTCACAGAGCTGGTGTGTTTATTCGGCTGTTTGGTTTGTTTTCAAACGTTTCATAAGGTGCCACAGAAAGAACTGCCCTGCTGAAAATTATTAAAAGTTTGTGTAGGTTTCTCTGATGGTATTTAGTGTTTGTTCTGATGGTTGGTATCACAGTGTAAAGGACTCCAACGGTTTTCCAGATGCATTTCATGGCTTCCTCATGGGATCTAAAGGTGTCCTACAGACAACCAGTGGTCTAATGACAACCATGAAAGGGGAATGCTGCCAGTTTTTCAAAGTTTATGTGTAATTCAGTCACTGAGATGCAGTCAGAGTCATTCAGAGTGATTTGATGTGAAACGATTTATTGTAGAGAAACTTACTGCCCTCTGAGTTCTTATTTGTAATGCTGACGGAGGTAAAAAAAATAATTAATTCGAGTGAACGTTTTGCAGTTCGTACGCACGTTTTTTTTAATTCGTGGTCACGATTTCTTAAATCGTTCCCTCATTTTCTTTTAAACGTGCGCACGTTTTCTTTACTTCGTGGGTACGTTTTTTTTATTCATGATCACGATTTTCTAATTCGTTCTCTCCTTTTCTTTTAATCGTTGTCATGTTTCATTGTTTTTTTGTTTATTTTTTTGATTCGTGTTATTTGTCCTGTGCAGAAGTAACTAACAGCTCCCTGAGACTGTCTGACGGGTTTTGATGAGTTAGACTGATAAGATAATGAACAGAGACGCTCATCAGGTCTGATTTGGGGTGAGGAAACTGCAGCTCCTCTTCACAGCAAACGGCCTTCAGATTCATCAGTGCAGCCGCAGTTTGGTGGTGAAATGAAGGAAGACAACAAACTACAACCACAGTCTTCACTAAACTGTACTTTATAATGATCATATTTAACAGAGATATAGACGCTTAGCGCTGTTTCTGCTCCCGGACAAACTGCGGTGTTAGAGATCATCACACAATTACAGTAAGAAATGATCAGCGTCAACGTTTCAACAAACTCAAATTAAACACACACAGAAACATTCATGTGGGATGAGGTTAAATGGCGAGAGAGTTTAATAGATCTATGGATTAGATATAGATATGTTAATGTGAGGATGTTGAAACGCTGATCGTTTCTTCTTGGAATTGTGTGATGGTCTCTAACACCGCGAATTATTTTTTTTACCTCCGTCCCCTCCGGGGCTCCATATAAAGTAGTGGTAAATCTGAAAAAATGTTTTCTTTGAGGACTATTTCGCCATAGGTTGCCCGTCATGCACCTCTGCCATGAAATGATTAAAATAAATTGATTAAGATGCATTTTAAACCAAAACTTTATCACAAAACTATCATAAGACAGTGTGTGGGACATGAAGCATTGTATATCAAAACTTTTCATGCGATATTTTCCGTGATGTGTGTGAAGCATTTAACTCTTCAGAGGTCTGGTTTCGTCTGGTATCACCACCACTCCATTCTGACTTGGCAAGTTTCTCTGGAACAGAACATTTCACACCAAACCACTCTCAACAACTTTGTTTACATCTCAACCATTTAAATAAGGGGATTTTTTGAAATGTCAGTGGAGTTCCCCTTTAAGTCAATTTCCATTAAAAAGCAAAGCCATCAGGTTTTAATCATAATGGTTCTAATTGTCTTTTTTCAGCAGGGTGTATTAATACTATCGCGAACTTTAAGGTGTCTGTGCTGTTTAATATTTTAATAGTAATTATATTTTCAGTGGCATAATCAGGATTGTATGAGCCCCAGGGGGTATTTCACAAAGCAGGATTTCTCAGGTGGCCAAAGAGCAAGCCTGTCCAATAAGAGAAGAACTAAGGAACATTCCTACTGGACAGTCCTCAACTTTTGGCTTATTGGGTTATCTGAGAAATCCTGCTTTGCACCACCCCACTCCCAGTGCAACCCCCTTTACAAAAATTACAATGTAATTACCTTTTTTTATTTGCTATTGTCATGTCTCAAACAAGCTGATTCAAGTCAACCTAAACATTTACCTTTTACCAGCCACTTACGATTTTAGAATCATTAAATGTGAATATATCATGATACATGTTGTGAAGGATCTATCTGAAAATTGTTGCCAAATGTTTTATGAATTACAGGGAGATAAACAGGCATCAGTTCTGTCTGTGCATAGTTGCGCCCCCAGTAGTTAAACCACTGCTTCTATGTAATATTCCTGTAGTGCTGTCTTATGGGAATCTGTAACATATGTGTAATATAAGATGTGTATAAGATTATAGAGTTCCTGTAGAGATTTATATTTCTACAGGTTTTTCACAGTGGAAAAATAAAATTTTTGAGGACAAATAACACCATGATGGGAAAATCAAAGGAAACATTAATCCCTTTGTTCATTTGGTATTTAGTCTACTTAGGCACTGTTGAGGAGACGGCCGTTTAAGCAGTTGCTTAGTGCCCCCGACCCACCAGCGAGCACCAGTGAGCATGTAGTAAGTATTTATGTATGTATGTATGTATGTATGTATGTACAGTTTAGTGAGTGAAGCATTAATTATTTCCCATTCAACATAAAATGACTGGGTTGAATAGGGACCACCAAGTAGGATGTTGCTTAGTGCCCCCAAACGTTCAGTAATGACCCTGCATGTAGGCAATTTGTCACAGCGTTAACACAAACCGAGCTCTTGTAGTCCTGTTTGTTGCAGTTTCCACACAAAGGAGCTGTAATAAGAGTGGAAAACTGGGTTATATTCACGAAAAACAATCATTATTTTTCAACATTCAGACAGTTTTTTGTCCCCAGAGACAGTTTCTTTTAAATTACATTAACACATCCTTTTATTTTCTTGTTTGTGAGGCTGACGTTGTGGCCAAGTGCTGTAAAGTGTTTTAGTCGATTCCAGTGGCTCATCATCGCAGTTTATGATGTATAACAGCTTGAAGGAGTCAGACAGCTCTTTAAGATGTTATCAGATCCCATTCTGTCAGTTAGTCCAGCATTTTTTATTTTACAAGTCCTGTGCAGCATCTTAAAAGCTGCTCGTCATTTACTGATTTCAATCCATGCCTGAACCAAGGTACATCTTGTTTGTTAAAGTGTGTGTTAGGTAGATAACCAGGCCTGTTTTTGGTGTTGCACCACACATCAGGCTACCTATGCTACTATCATCTATAACAACCTCTGGTAAATAAGTTACAATTAACAAGTTTTTTCCTTGAAGTTACCATTTTCCATATACAAGGTTTTGTTCTGACAGCTATAGATTGGAGCAAATTACTAATTCACAAATGGTAAAATTCTGTAGTCTATGTGTGTGTCAACATATTATTATCAAACCAAACACAACTGTCAGATATAATAGCTTTCCAAATATACTGCGTAATTATGTTAGGCCTACATACAGCCTAAGTAAAAAGAAACGGATTTAAACCTTTTTAAAATTTTGTTTCAGTTTAGTAATGCTGTGTCACATGAATGGAACCATTAATACACTGGTTCTGCTTAGACATTGTAGTGAACATAGTATGTAGTGAGCATATTTGTTTTTTATTAGATTCTGGGTCCTGCTTTCAAATGCTATTAAAATACATGGTGATCATTTAGAATGCAATTCAATATCATTGGTGTTGTTCAATTTTTTGTCAACAATAGAATCAAAAACTGCAGAAACAGACTCAGACTACAGCTCAGTTCTTTAAGCTTTATAAGGCAATCGTTTCAGGAAAAAAAAACGTAAGGTATAGCAAATAGCATACAAGAAGGATGAGATAAACAAAATAGTTTGAACAAGTGTTTTATATTATAGTATCATAAAGTATAATAGTTATACAAAGTTGGAATAGGAATAGGCATAGTGGAGACTGTTGATAGTGGAGGGATGTTGTTTCTTAGTAACAGCACTGTACAGTGGCCCCAAAAGGTATTTGGACATTTGTTCCATCATTGTGTTAGGAAACAAAATATCATGTGGCATTTATTGTAAATAGACCATTCCAATTTGGCAAAGTATTCTTTTTAAAAGTTCTGTGTAGACTTATGCAGATTTGTGTCCAAAATGCCTTGTGCACTTATGAGTTCATGATCCTATCAATACACACAAGCCCACCAAGACCACTGTAAGAATAAGCACCTCTGTGCTTTACAGTACTGTTAGTGCAGTCTGGTTGGAATCCTTCTTCAGTCTTTCTCCACACAGGACACACTCTGATGTTGTGCTAAAAGTGATTTTTTCTGAAACAAATATAATTTTGTTTAAATATTTTATGAGGTGACCTAAAAACTTCATCAAGGAAAAACATCAATGGTTACTGTCCAAATGCTTTTTGGGGCCAGTGTAGATGTTAATACATTGTCTACAACACTCTTGGACATTCTGTGCTTTTTAAACTACAAATTTCTGCCCCTACAATTAAGAGGATGAAATCGAAAGCATTAAATTATGAATTAAAATTAGAGACTAGCACTGTTCCAAATTCTACTGCCTCCATCTCATTTGTGAGATTTGGATCCAGTCCTCTACACAAAAACAGCAAAGTCTCTTGTTAGGAGTTGTTGCCATTATTAAGAGATTTTGCTTCTGCTTGTTTCCTCCATGCCAAAAGGACTTCATCATCCTCTAACTCCTCTGCTACACGGTCTCTTGCCCTCTGTCTGATGCGGTTGATAAAAGCAGATACCTCCTCATCTTCATCATCGTTCTGTCTTGTTCTTGTCCGTCCTGTTATCTCACTGTCATCAAATCGCGATGTATGAGTAAATTTCCGCTTTGCTGAGTGCTCCTGGAAACTATCCTCCTCCTCTGTTTCCTCATGTCTAGCATAGCGTCTCCCAGTTCTGTGATGACTAGACTCTGATGTTCCATTCCAGGAGGACTCTGCCCCAAGAAGCGTCCTCCTTGATTGATAACTGAATTCTGGACTGGGATCTCTGCTCAAATCGCTGTCAACTTCATATCGGGAAATATTGTTCGATGCAAAGCCATAGTCCTCCTCATCACCTTCCTGTGCTACAATTGAGCTTCTCCGGCTCGGAAAATCAAACTCTGCAGGCTCTGGGGGTTCTCCGTATGTTGGCCTGGACATGCGAGGTTCAGCTGTATCTTCATCATACCCTCTTACCTTGCTTGAGGGGGGTCTTACATTTTTGAGCCATTCGTCAATACTGCAACTGGAGTTTGCTGAGGCAGGAAGGTTGAGTATTCCAGAACGACCAAAATCTTTTTTGGGTTTTGGTTTCTCACAGGGGCTGGTTGATAATTCATTGCTGCTAAATCCACTTGACTTTCCAAGGGTGCTTTCATCCTCCTTATCTTCGTCCTCATCCTTTTGCTTTTTCTTCTTGTACAATGTACTGCGCTTGTTGTCTTCTGCAATCTTCTTTATCTCATATGAGGCCATCTTTTGTCTCATATCAGACTTAATTTCCTTCTCCATGGTGTCAAGTTTGTGCAGGTTTACCTGGTCTTGGAATAAGCTGTATAGCGGTACACTGGTGGTGGTGATTTTGCTCCTACGAGAGCCTAACCCAGAAACTGAAGAGAGACTAGACGCTCCTCCAGCGGATAGAACAGACTCTGCCCGTCCACCTGCAGAAAGTACAGACGCAGCCCTCCCGCCAGCCGAAAGCACAGATTCAGCCCTACTGCGAGGTAACGAGCTGGAATAGGATGATCCACTAAGAACAGAGGACTTATCATCATCCACTCCGCGTCCCTGTCCCATCCCTGTGCCAGCACCCAGACTGAAAACAGACCCTGCTCGAGATGGTGGAAGACTTCCTGTCATCATCATTTCGGCTTGCTTTTGCATGAGTGTTTCGTTAACTACGTTTGCAATCCAGTTCTGAATGTTTGCTATGTTCACCATTGGTTCTCCATTGGGTCCCAGCACTGGGACAGGAGGTTCAGGTGGGGCAGGTGGGACAGAGGGTTGGGAGCGGGTGCTACGGCCTGAAAGGACAGATGATCTGCCACTCAGCACGGACATGTTATCATCACCTGCAACACTTGCAGAAGGAAATGCACCAGCACAGAAAGCAGACAGAGGGATACTTCCACTGAGTGTGCTTTCAGTTTCCCAGCCACACACAGATTGGCTCTCCTCTAGCGTTTTCCTGGAGCGCTCCAAGAGTTCTTCTCTCCGCTGTCTCCTCTTGATGGTGGCTGAATCCTCTCCACGGCTTATCTCCAGAATCTCATCTTTGTTCTCCTCACCCCCATATTTCTTCTGCTGCTTCAACTTCCATGTCTGATAGGCTGTTAAGTTGACGTCCTCCAAAGAAGGAGCAGGGCTCTCTGCCTCACCTTCCTTTTGCTCCCCACTCTTGTTCTCTGCCTCTTGTTCTTTCTTGTTCCACCCAAACTGTATTCTCTTAATCTTCCACCGCTCCAGGGGAGTCAGTTTGTCCTTGTTTTTCTGACAGAAATAGTACATGGAGCTTGAGTCAGAGAGTACACTCTCTAGATCGTCATCTATCTTCTTTTGGCTTGCCTCGCTACTTGCGTCCTCATCTCTTTCCTTGAGACGATACCTTGCAGCAGCCTGCTCCTCAATCTCCTTTAGACGCTGCTTCCAGAGGTCAGCGTAACTACTGCAGCTAGTGGTAGACATTGAGTCTGAGGGGGGTCGGCGAGGCTGACGCTTAACCTGTTCCTTCAACATCTGCACATCTTCACTGGTCACACTCTCCAGATCCTCTGGCCGAGGAACCGGACGCTTTCCGGCCTCTGCAAGAGACTCTGTATCCTCATCATCACACATTAGCTGGGCTTCCCACCAGTCTTCATTCTGGTACTTTTCATTCCGCTTCTGCCACTCCCGAATCATTTTGTTCACATGTTCATCCTCATCCTCGCCATCTTTCCCAGGGAGAGAAGGGTCCTTGGCAGTTGCTTTCTGGTCAGGTCCATTGGGGCCTCCGACAATGCCTACTTTCAGGGCAGCAGCAGCTGCAGATGAAGCAACACTACTCATAACACTCGCACTGTCCTCCTCCTCCTCCACCATGATGGAATTAGCTTTGACTCCAAACATGCTTTCTTCCTCATCGAGGTGAGCCCGAGCGTCAATTACGGAGCATTGACTGAGAGTGTCGTCATCATCTTCGTCTCGTTCCTCCATCAGGGTTTCATTGAGCTGACGCAGCTGCTTCAGGAAGCCCTCATTGGGGTTGATTGCACGTTTCTTTCTGATTTCCATCAGTGCCTCCATGATGGACATGTTGTGAAAGATCATTAAATAAGCAGCAACTAACACCGCTGAGCGGCTTACTCCCATCATGGAATCCACCAGCACTTTCCCTGTGCACAGAGAAAATAGATCATAAATGTGAAGTGTTTTTCAATGTCTAGTATACACAACTGTTCATAAGTTTGGAATCACTGTTGAAATGCTTAGAATGCTAATCTCAATAATATAAAACTATTTTGTTGCAGATATATGTATAAAATAATTGTAATATGATGGAAATATTCTATTTGTTTCAAACAATTTGTAGGAAGCTGCAAAAATTAATAATTGTGGTGATGTTCACTGTTAAAAAAGATGGCTTATTAAGGGTTCTTTAGTAAAGAAAATGGTTCTGTGAAGAACTATGAACACTCAAACAACCCTTTGCATGATTAAAGGGTTCCTCAGAATGTGTTGTAGATGGTTCTTTACAGAACCTTTTTGAACAGAGTTCTATATAGCACTCAAAATCTTCTGTTTTTGCAATGTCAATCTTGTAACTATAGCAGAACCCTTTTTTATATAGAACGCTTTTCAAAAAGGTTCTATATAGAATCATCTATAGCACATTCTCAGTCAGTCTGAAGAACCATTTCATGATGCAGAAGGTTCTTTGAGTGTTTATGGTTCTACATAGATCCATTTTTTTCGTAAAGAACCCTTAAAGAACCACCTTTTTTGAGCATGAGAGCTGTAGATTCTATGATTCTATGTTGACCCATTTGTGAAATTTTCCCTGTGATTTAACACTCTTTAATAAACTAACAGTGACCCATTCAGTCAGGTTCAACACTGATTTTCCCCAAATCTATAAAACCCCATCTTACATTTATACTCTTTCATGTGTGAATATTGTGAAAATATGTGTGAAAAGTTTACTACTTAAGATCATTTGCTATTATTTTACCATGTCACTTTTGAAAAAAGACTGATAGTTGGAAACCTGTCATTCTGCCCCCACCCCCCTCCCAGCTTCTCATATCTGGATCTTCTTGGTCACCCATCAAAATCCATTGCTGTTAGTCCACTGAATTTAAAAGCTTACCCAACGGAGATACTAATCCTTACAATGGTTCGGCATTCTATTTATAGCAGTGTTGCAACCACTTCGTAAAATCTTCTCATAGACTCATTGAGGTTACGGTCACAGTTGTTTGTGTGTGGGTGATCCCAGAAAATGTAGAAGATACAGTCGCATGCAAAAGATTGAACACCCCTAGTCATTTTTTAAGTGAAAATAAGCTACCACATTCTGTGACCAGCGCAAAACTTATGGCACATTTGATATTTTTTCCAACTAGGGATGTTCAAACCTTTGCATATGACTGTATGTATACATTTTCTATATGTTTGTATATGTACATATCCATGACTGACATACGATGGCTCTTTCAGTTCATTCTGTCCTTATTTTTCTGTTCTTTGAAGAATTTAGTCGCTATGGTTGCATGAACTCCTACAGTATATCGTGAGTAAATTCAGCACTGTAGTGCTAAATTAATGCTAACCTTTCTAAACAGACTTTTGAAATGTCCTTTTCCTAGTTTGTGTTTTGGTCAGACTTATTAAAATAATTAAAATAATTAAAATAAAATTTAACCCACTACTACACTGGGTTTGCTATAAACCCTATGCACCATTACAAGAGGTTTCTTTTCCCAAAAGAATCTTTAGCTTAGCTCACTCACCACAGGACTACCTCTGACTCATCTCCTTGAGACATACTACAAATCTATGGCAGTGAATTGGCTGTCTAAAATGGATTAGCCAGTCATTTTCAGTGAATTCTGTTATTGTCTAGCTGTTTCTACTTCATCAGATGACAAGAAGCTTGGGCCCATACATAGATTCAGGAGTAGTCACATATCCAACAGTTCACTTAAGCTGCTGCTTTTTTTGTGGCGTGATAGTGATGTTTGATAATGAGCCATTTGTGATCCATACTGAACTGTAATGAGTTTCCTTTACTCTCACTCACCCCTATGAGTCAGCAAAGCCTCATCGAGAAACTCGGCACATGTTCGGAAATGTGGTGAGATGTCTGCATCAGAGAAGTCGTCAACCTCGATACCCATGTAAGTGATGTTCATTCCCTGGTAGAAGCTGTCGCCTGTGTAGACTCCTGTGCCATGGCCTGCGTTCAAAATGTGAGTGATGCCAAGACGCTTCAGCCGAGCCTTGTTCACTGCTACTGATCTGTGGAATGTTGATGGAATTGCATTTAGTATTAGACAGAACTTCGAGTCCTTCTCATCAAGAGTTTCATAACAGCTGCAGATGGTGTTGTGCACTAAGTGACACAAATGTGTCTTACTTTTCACCAATGAAGATGTTAGGCCAGACTTCATCCACTGGGTTCAATGGGGCCTCCAGGCGGTCCTGAACCAGAGCTCTTTGGATGTCCAACACGCAGGGTGTGTTATAGGGGCTGCGGTCATCGATCATGTCCTTCACACGATTGTAAAGGTCCTCCACCATTAGTTGCTCTGCTGTCTCCAGCATGCTCTCTGGGGTCGATGCCAGCTTTAGCTCTTTGGACTTCAATTCTGAGAAGAAATAATGAAGCTTACTCTAACCATGACTTATCTTTTTTGCTGTGTGTTACAAAACATGTCAACAGGTTTCGAAAAGATTTTACGGTGCTTACAATACTCTATAAATATGATTGACAGTAATTACAAAATTCATAAGTTGCTCTCTAACACAAGATTTACCCACCCTCATTGATGATCTGTTTTGCAGCAATGGCTGAGGAGAGGTGAATGGGTTCCATGAAGATGCTTTCAGCATCTGACCCAGAGATCATGGAGAACCGGTCAGAGATGGTAGAGAAACGATCTGACATCATGGAGAAACTGGAAAAGTGAAGAGGCTCTTATTATCATAATGCGGTGGGTGTAAGAAAGCAGTGTTCAAGCAAGTTTGGAGAAAATTAGAACAAGCTAAAACATTAGAACATTTAACTGCAACAGTGCCTCGACAGTGCTGTAGGCTACCTACACATAGCATTATGTAACCTATTGCTGCTGTCTGAACAAAACATCATATCTCTGAAATGGTTACTTTACAGGAGAAGGAAAAAACCTGCTTTACTTTCAATATAAGTCAATGAAATCAGACTTTTTTCCAAGCAATTTTGGGCCGTTTCTTTTGGCCCATTCATCATGAAATTTTCAAATTATGACAAAAACTGAAAAACAACAAAAATGGATATACAATGTTTTGTTCCGACAGGAGCAAGATCATCACTGTCATAAGAAAACCTTATAACTATGTTTTTCATTTTCATTTTCACTTAAAAATAATTGCATAAACAGTTCATGGCGGGTGGACTAATGGAAATGGTCATAAATTACTTCAAGAATGTTTTTCCCTTCTTTTAAAAAGCTGCCATTTCTGAGTTCTTCTGAGCTTTTACTACACTGACAATATATTTGCAGATTTGGATGCTGTGCGTGAGTTCGAGAGGATAGATGACCTTGGAGAAGGGCAGCGTAGGTAATGGGCTTGGACGTCTTTCACTGCAGGAGTTTCATCCTCATCAGGAACCTTTTGGTCCCCCTCTGTGTTGTTGTCACTTGGCGAGGCCATTGTCACACAGTCCTCTTAAGCTGATTAACAAAGAAATGCACACATACTGAATCAGAACCTCAGGGTTAATCAGGTTCACTGTATGAATACAAGCACAGAGTCATATGGAAGAAGCAAAAACAGAGTTAGAAATATTTTTAATAGTATTTCCCCAGTTAGGCCTAACCAAGAGAGATGGAGAGATCATACATTGCGAATATTTACATATCAAAGCTCTTCGAACAAAATCTTGTATCTTCAAAATAGTATCTTTAAAGAAGATAGTAAAAACATCCTTAACTTAGAATGGAATGTAAAAAGATTTTATTCCAAGGAATTTTGGCTCATTTCTTTCGGACTGTTCATCCTGAAATATCCACATAATGTAAAGGACAGCTGAAGATGGAGATACTAGGTTTTGTCCCAATAGTGATGATATGAATAGTAAGTATAAAAATTTCTTCAAGTAGTTATAAATACTGAACATAGTCCCATACCAATTTTCCACGTAAACAGCCCCCCCAAAATCAAATAACAAGTCTGGAAAACAAACTTCTTATTCTACGAAATCAATTCTGATTCCAGTCTCAGAGCCGAGTGCTTATGTTACCAGCAGCATGGTTTTAAATCTGATGCAACATTCTATAACTTTACTGTCTCTCATCACTTAAAAACTGTATGTATAGTCATACGCACTCACCCACCAGCAAAAGAGAGCATTCATCATGGATGAAAGCGTTTTAATTAAAAACACATTACGACAGCACCTGGGAAAAAGAAAGTGTCTAAGGAGCGCTTGAGTGTAGCAGCGCTCCAGCTGATGACAGGCATGTTTTGACAGTCATGTCTGTAGCTCATTAAAGCTGTTGAAAAAACCTAAAACACACTGTTGTCAACTTTTTTGTTCATTTTGTAGGTACCAGGTAGAGCAGAAAGTTTACTCTCACATGTCAATACTTTAAAATAGTTAATCACTTTTTTGAAAACAACACCTTTTCATTAGGGTAGTTTAATCATGCTAAGTGTTTCTTCTATAACTAAAACTTTCAAACAGACGCTTCCATTTTCACATAGATCAAAAACATGTATGATTTCTTGTGTAAGCGTCTCTCTGTGAGTTCGTCAGTCCTAGTGGCTGAGTTATATTTAGCACAAGGACAGCTGAGAGGACCCTTCTGGAACAGAGGCCTGAGATAGGAGCCCATGATACATTGGGATCGGTGGAAAAAAGGAATAACATGAATCATCAAATGATCAACAAGCTGTGTTTTTACCTCAAGATATTTCAGCCTTGACATATAGCACTGTCTTTATTTCATAACGTAGATAAAAGCCGGTCTCTTACCTGAGAGGCTGGAACAGACAGCAGTGATCTCAGTGAGGAAGTGAATGGAGCTGGCAGTAGAAGTCTAAACTTAGAGAGCCCCTCACTCTAATGACTGACAGTCCACCACCCCCACCTCCACCCTACTGGCTGATGTCCCACCTCTGACATCATCTTGGGGGGCAGGGGCAGTGTGGTGGGGAATGGCTGAGTGTTGTAAACCCAAACACAGGGACTTCTATAGCAGTAGCACCAGCATTAGACAGGTTAGTGTTTGAGCATGTGTGACTGATAGATATAGTAGTTTTGCAGAAGTTTGGGTGCCCCGAAAAATTGATGTTTTATCGATTTTTTTAAGTGAAAATAAGTTAAGACACCTCTGCAGAGAACACCCTACTGCACATTTTAATGCACAATTACTGTTTATTTACTGAATTTAACATATTGAAAAAAATGAAAAAAGCAAAAGTTACGGCACATTCTATAGTTAATGTTTTATTTTTTCCAATATGTTAAACTCCAAAAAAGGTGGGACGCTGTGTAAAATGTAAATAAATGTAAATAAAAACAGAATGCAATTATTTGCAAATCCCATAGACCCACATTTTATTCACAATAGAACGTAGAACACATATCAGATGTTGAAAGTGAGACATTTTACCATTTCATGAAAAACATTAACTCATTTAGAACTTGATGGCAACAACTCACATGGCTGGGTATAAAAAGAGCATTTTAGAGAGGCAGAGTCTCTCAGAAGCGAGGATGGGCAAAGGTTCACAAGTCTGCGAAAACTGCAGAAAAAAGATTCAGAGAATCTGGAGAAATCCCTGTAAGCAAGGGACAAGGCCGGCGGTCAGTATTGGATGGACGGTCAGTATTGGATGTCTGTGACCACAGTTCACCATGCAATCCACAAATGCAAGTTAAAGCTGTATCATGCAAAGAAGAAGGATATACAGGATCCAGAAATGCCGCTGTCTTCTCTGGGCCAAAACTAATTTAAAATGGACTGAGGCAAAATGGAAAACTTTTCTGTGGTCAGCTTAATCAAAATTTGAAATTCTTTTTGGAAACCAAAGACGGCAAGAGGAAAGGGACCATTCAGCTTGTTATCAGCGCACAGTTCAAAAGCCTGCATCTCTGATGGAATCAAGTTGCATTAGCGCCAGCTTACCCTTCTGGAAAGACACTATCAGTGCTGAACAGTATATAGAGGTTTTAGAACAACATATGCTCCCATCCAGACTATGTCTCTTTCAGGGAAGGCCTTGCAGATTTCAGCAAGACAATGCTAAACCACATACTACATCCATCACAACAGCACTTCCCAGACATTTACAGACTGTTGATAAAAGAAGAGGGGATGCTACACGATGGTAGACATGGCCCTGTCCCAACTTTTTTGAGATGCGTTGCTGTCAAGTTCTAAATGAGTTAATGTTTTTCATGAAATGGTAAAATGTCTCACTTTCAACATCTGATATGTGTTCTATGTTCTATTGTGAATAAAATATGGGTCTGTGAGATTTGCAAATCATTTGATTCTGTTTTTATTTACATTTCTTTACGTTTTACACAGCGTTTGAAATTGGGGTTGTAGAAATTGTGCACTAAAATTAGTAGAAAAATGCCACATTTAACTTTGTTCTCTGTAGAGGATCTGTTAACTTATTTTCACTTAGAAAATCAACAAAACATCATTTGACCAGAGGTGTTCAAACGTTTGTGTGCGGCTGTGTATAAACAGATATTTTTGTTTTTGTTAATTAATATAGTTTCAGTGCCAATTCAGATTAACACACACACTGTCTTTTGACTTCCTTCTTATCAGCATGAACAGTTTTGGCGTTTGTGACCATGTGGTTACGGTTGCGCAGCAGACCTGTTTTTAACTGTTTTCATCATCACTGTTTTGGCCTGAAGGCTTTCCATGTTTAAATGGTTGCAGCTTGAAAGCAAAAACCCAGAGAAAGCTTCAAGAAATGTGCTCCTATATCTAGAACAGATTAGGAATCTAATGAAACATGAGGGGGGTCAGAGAGATCAGTGGGTCGGGGATGTTGTGTTATCTGCAGCTGATAGTGGTGTTGGGTTGTTGTTGAGAGCTATTTATAAAATGGAATGCAGGCAGACAAATACTGCCAAGCTGTCAAGAGTGTTAACCCATTCTCTCTCTCTCTCTCTCTCTCTCTCTCTCTCTCTACATCTCTACCACTCTCTTTCTCTTCATCTCTAACGCTGATTCTCTCTCTACCGCTCTCTCTCCCTCCCTCTTTACCGCTGTCTCTCTTTCTCTCTCTTTCTCATCTCTAACACTGTTTCTCTCTCTCTCTACCGCTCTTTCTCTCCATCTCTACTGCTGATTCTCTATCACTCTCTTTCTCGTTCTCTCTCCCTCTCTACCACTGTTCTCTCTCTCTCTCTCCCTCTCTCTCTCTCTCCCTTTCTCTCCCTCTCTACCACTGTTCTCTCTCTCTCTCTCTCTCTCTCTCTCTCTCTCTCTCTCTCTCTCTCTTTCTCTTTCTCTAGCACTCTCCCTCTATTGCTGGTTCTCTCTCTCTCTTTCTCCCTCTATACCCCTTGTTCTCTTGCTCTCCCTCTCTCACCCTCCCTACCATTCTCATTCACTGCCTTTCTCTCTCTCTCCCTCTTTCTCTCTTCTTTCTTCACTCTCCCCCTCTCTCCCTCACTCCCCATCTCTCTCTGTCTCTCTTAAAATATATTCAGAAGTGAACTTTTTATTTTTTCATAAACCTTCAGTAAACTAGAAAGTCAGAACAGAGATAACCTCTAAGTCAGCCTAACAACCTGCACAGAAACGCGGTGTTGGCCGCAGACGTCACAATAAGACCAACTAAATGTCACAATTCAGCAAACCGGCCATTATTGAGCTCCTTATCTCCTCCCTTTAACACCATCTCCATAATTAAATTGCCTTTGTCTGTGGCTCTGGATTAACCGCAGAGCTCCAGAGGCCAATTTAATTTGCTCATTGTTTAACACAGTCAGGGCTAATTAAGATAAACGAATTTCATTCTGTTAGATGACGTTTTCCATTTTTATTTTCAATATTACATGAAAAAATATCAAATACCATTACCTACATTTACAGCGTTAACAATATAACATGAAATAAAAAGTTTCACAGGTTCATAGTAGAAAACTTACTGACACAGTGGTGGTGACGGGAACCAGGGGTCACAACGTCTACAACACAAATATAGACATTTTATTAGCTGTCCAAAATGACCAGTGAACCTGCACATGTCGTTATATGTAACGTTGATCATTTTGATTAAAAATACATTTTCTTTGAAGACTATTTTGCCCCACAACACCTTGCATGTACCTCTTTGCTATTAATGTTTTTTTTTTAAAAACCACCACTGTGAACAAATCTGACTCGGTAAGTTTCTACAGCGGCACATTTCACATCAAACCACTGACTGATTTTGTTTATCAATTAAATAATGCAGAAATAAAAAAAATCTGTGGAATTGTCCTATAAATGCCACTGGCTGTGGTTGCAATGCTAATAACGTAATATAAAATAAATATCAAACATCATTACTCACGTGATCAGTGTTAAAATAATATGACACTTGCATACAGGCTTCATATTAGACTGAATGTTCCTCTGTTATTAGGCGGTAAAAAATGTGTGTGGCAGTCAGACTTTATCATTTATTCCTTCCATATCAGTCATTATGTGACCTACTGTGCCATCTGCTGGTGGGTACAGAAACCGCAGGGTGAAGGCACGAAACTACAGGCCTATATGTGTGTGTGTGTGTGTTTTTATACACATACAACAGTAAGACGATAACTTTTGCAGGCCATTTGTTGGCTTTATTCACTACATGGGAAAGTACGTTTCCAGCTGGTGGCAAAGCGTAGAACAGAGAAACAGGACTCAACCCCACAGAACACCACACACAAACAAGAAAGCACACAAGAACATTTGATACCCCATTTTCAACCTAATGTCTACCTGCTGCATGTCTACTGTATGGTTGTTTACCACAGAAAACAATTTAAAAACACAGAAAACCAGCTGACTCAAAACACACTGATAATGAAAGTCAGTGAGCAGGTGCTGAAGGCAGTTCTTTTCCAAGTACAGGGAAACACAGACATTATTGTCCATGGTAATCAACCATATGATACAGATGCACCAGATAGACACTGGGACAAGTATTCCTTTAAGATATGCTGTGCCCTTCACTGCTGGACTCAGCTGGAGTTTGTATTGATGAGTACTGTGCAATCAGAGAGCACCACTCCTTTATTTACTTTCCTTTCAAAACGGCCATTAAGTACATTAAAACACTTTTAACACAACTATACAAAAGTCTCGACAGCTAAATTTAATGACTATTACTAATAGTTACTAATACTATTCTTTTCAGAAGACCTGCTTTCAGTTTTTCAAAGAAATTTGCACATATTTTTCCAAAGTTTAGTCTTAGAAGTTGGTCACATTTTCTGCTTTCTGGAGCTGGCTTTTCATCCAGACTCTCAAAGATGAAAGCATTGGTGGTCTGCGTTGATTTTAGGAGTCCCATTTTTTGAATTCCAGTGTTGGAAACTCCTGTTTTTAGAGCTTATTTTCTTTGACTTTATGTGAGTGGGTTATCTTATATATGATCTGATCAGAAACATCTCCTCAAAAATGAATAACTTGTACTTCATGGCTGTTTTGGCTGGAAATTAGATAAATAAAAGGGAGGTCTCTGAATTTTGCACAGCATTGTATGTGATTCGATTAGAAGCAGATCAGGGTCTCATTATTTTGTGGCTCCATGTCCCTGATCATGTACAGCACTGTGCAGTGTTACGCATCTGAGAAAATTACATTTCAAAAGCTTTTAACTGGAAGTGTTTATTTGCTCAGAGATACACTAATATTAGAACAAACACAAACAACATTAATATGAAAGTATTCGTTTTATGTATGTCAGTGTGTTTGTTTATTAATTTCTCACCCTTTCCTTTATGGCAGTCAGGTGTTCTGTGCAGTTACGATCTGGTAAGAGTAATCAATACTTCATTATAGTAACTC